CAAGTAATCAGTACACTAACATTAGCACCAGAAAGAAATTTACTACATAAGACTCTATATTGCTAGAGCAAGTAGTCAAGTATGTTAAAGCTAGTAGTAAAAACCTTCATATATGATACTTGCTTCAGACTGATAAGTTAAGTGGTACAATACATCAACATCAGCAGGTGGACATTTACTAAACTTCATATTGGTAGAGTAAATAGTTAAGTACATCAAGTGTAATGCATTTACTATATGACACATGCTCAAATTACTCTAACAGTACAAACTATGTTCAATGTTACTACAAAATGTTATTATAAAATGTTCAATGTTACTGAACAGAGGACCTGCTTCTCCAAAAAAGGATAATTTTCCTCATGTATAAAAATAACAGTTATACTTTATCATATCAGTACCAACCAGAACATAAGATTAATATATGGTAATACTTGAAGCAATTTATTAAGACATTTGTGACCGGTGAGCACCGTGCGATGAGAACGCAGAAAGGTAAGCAAACAAATCAACTGAGAAAACTAAATCGAGCGGATCGATGAGGAAGGATACGAAGGATTATCGAGGGGATGATACCGAGGGGTGTTCTCCGGGACGATCTCTGAGACTGGCTTCGTAGCTGGAAAAACTTGTCATCATATTCAACGTCACGAGTGTCCTGATTCTATATATAACTCGCTCGTTAAATTATCCATCGACGGTCTACTTTTGTCCGGGCGATACACAGTCTCAAGAATCAAGACACTGCATGAAAAATTCATATCGCATAAAAATACATGGTCTAGATTCGTTCGAAGGTTAAATCCGCAAGTGTCCAGCTGCTCACCTAAAAGTATGAAAGATTATATACAAGTTAGATCTAGCTTCGAAATTTCGGGTCCTAAGCGTGGGTCTGGCGTACTGCGATACTGCGGTCTAGCCTAAACAAAGTACACAATCTACGATCCGACAAATTGTCGGAGAAATGAACCTTTCGTTGACGAGGTTGTCCCTGGTGGGATCGCGAGGCTGCCTTTTCATAATGTCCGACTCGGCGTGCTCGTACGCCAGAGATATGGCAGGCACCTGACAAACCATCATACATTTCATCCTTAAAATCCCAACCAGCCTAAACAGCTCGACTGGGTCGAGATCACACAAGGTACAGTTTTAACATCGCTGAAAATGTTCGGTTACGCGAGAAGAACCTCGACGAGTCTTCAGGAGATCCCGTTCGTTGCCGATCAAAGATCTCCTCGAAGAGTCGTCTAATTCTCTGGGTCTTCCCGACATTTCGCCCGCTCCTCATCGGGAACGAGCGAAGAATAGTTAGGACGTTACTCACCATGTCAGTTCCCAAGTCGATGCAGAGAATAGTGACGGTACCGAGAGGCAGAGGTATATCGCAAAGGATAAACGCCAGGAAGGGTGAGATCTCGGGGATGTTCGAGGTCAGGGTATACGCGATGGACTTCTTCAGGTTGTCGAAGATCAGACGTCCCTCTTCGACGCCTGTCACGATCGAGGCAAAGTTGTCGTCGAGCAGAATCATGTCGGCTGCCTGTTTGGATACGTCCGAGCCAGCGATACCCATAGCTACACCGATGTCGGCCTTCTTCAACGCGGGCGAATCGTTCACACCATCACCTACAATGTTTAGTTTCTTTCAAATCTGCTCCTTTCTTCGTCTACTTTTGGGTAATTCGGGATCAAATGGTTCTACCAAACTCTAAGACAAATACGAATGATCGAACGTACCGTTTTTATAGTGCACCACTAAGTCGATCTGTGAATTGAGTTTAGCACGAAGTACATCTTATGCAGTGCCTTTTGAACGGATTAGGCTTGTGTTAAACTCTAAGAGGATTTCAGGGTCTGTTGGTGCAGTTGCTTAACAGTGAATCAGGTGTCCTCACGAATAAAATTCTTATACGCTCGGTTTCGTATGAAGAGGTTTATCAAACCAGAGCTCCTTACATTCATGAGGACATCTGAAGACATCTCAGGAGGATACAGTCTCTATTATCCTGCTGACAATTGTGTTCAGAAAACAGGCTCATACTCTTCCTATCCTCGTGAGAGTGTGACAGTGTTCAGAGGAGATTACGAGCGTCGTTAGTGTTTTTAGAGAGATAAACAGCGTACCAGTTACGGCGACGATGGCACCCATTCGCTGGCAACCTTCGACGATGATGAGCTTCTGCTGTGGCGAGGTACGGGCGAACACAATTTCGGTGTGGTACCTGAGAATCTCGTCCAGTTGGTCGGAATTCAGTTCCCTGAGTTCAGTTCCGTGAATAACAGCGGCCTTGGCCTCGCGAGGATTCACTTCGGACACTGGGATGTTCAACCGTTGGGCAATGTCCTCAACGGTTTCATTACCTAAGCAAAAACATCGTTATGTTATGCACTGTCTTCAAAGGTTATTAACTGCTTCGTTCATAAGGTAATCTCAATTGTGGGCCATTTCACACTTGAGCTTTTTGTCGACATTTACAGAGAGTTTCAAAACAAAGTCATGAATATTTCATAAGCAAAGTTTCTTTGCGTTTACACTTGTTTATCTCCGGTGAAGATACAGAAAACAAGTTTGGAGAAAGTTTGTCTCTAATTGATAGAACCGCCCATTTATGTAAATGAGGTCTTTAAAACATTCTGTTATGTGAGCATCCAAAAAGGTGGACATAGCTGTTGAATGTTAGAAATGGTAGAAAAAGTTACAGGTAGAGAATTAATGACTGAAGACACTAGAAGATCACTTATAAATGATGATACTAATATACAGAATAAAGTAGTCAGACTGTCAATGAAACTCTCTGGTAATTAACAAGTGGTCATAATTTGAAGGTGGACCACAAAGCTGATGCCTATCCTAATCACCCAGTGATTTATACTTGTAAGAATGGAAGACGTGAAAGGAGAGTCACCTTCAGAGATGATGCCGACGGATTTGGCAATGGCTTTGGCAGTGATCGGGTGATCGCCGGTAACCATGATGACCTTGATACCGGCTGAACGGCATTTGGCGACCGCGTCGGGCACCGCAGCCCTGGGCGGGTCAATCATGGACATGAGGCCCACGAAGCGGAGTCCATCGACCGGGAAGTTGGGATCGTCGCAGTTGAACTTGAAGCCGATCGGGAATTTGTCGGACGGCAGTGTGTAGTCACAGAAGCCGAGTACACGTTCGCCAAGACCGCCGAGCTCGAGATAAGCGTTGTTGAAAGCTTCCTTCATCTCCTCGTCCAGGACCTTTTCTTTACCGCCAATGAAAATGGTGGAGCATCGGTCGAGGATTCTTTCCGGGGCGCCCTTCATTACCAGCAGATGTCTAGGATCGTCCGGATTGTCCGACTCGTGGATGGAAACCTGATACTTGTTGGTAGAGTTGAACGGAATCTCGCAGACCTTCTTGTTACGTTTCCTGATGCCCATCACGTCGCCCAAAGCCAGTTCCATACACTTCAACAGAGCAGCCTCGGACGCGTCACCGTTCACCTCTCTCTTCAGGATGGGTATTTCGTCTTGGCCAGGTTTGAACTCGGCTCGGTTGCAGAGGGTCGCGATCTTGGCTAACGCTTTGAAACCAGGACTCGTACGATCGTATTGTAAACCGGACTGATCCTCCGTGGTGTCGGCCTCGATGATCTGATTGTCGAACCACATGTGAGCGACGGTCATCCTGTTCTGTGTGAGCGTGCCTGTCTTGTCCGAGCAGATGGTCGACGTCGAGCCTAACGTTTCGACGGCCTCCAGATTCTTTACCAGACAATTCTTGGACGCCATACGCTTGGCGGTCAACGTCAAACACACGGTCACGGTAGCGAGCAAACCTTCCGGCACGTTAGCGACGATAATACCGATCAAGAAGATAACCGCGTCTAACCAATGGTAACCGAGAATGAACGCGATTATGAAGAAAGTTACACCGAGGAACACAGCTACGCCGGTAATCAAATGGATAAAGTGGTGGATCTCCTTAGCGATCGGAGTCTCACCGGTGTCAAGGCCGGACGCCAAACCGGCAATCCTTCCCATTACCGTCTGATCGCCACAGCAGATCACCACCCCTTTCGCGGTGCCTTCAACGGCATTCGTGGAGAAGAACGCAAGATTTTTCGTTTCTAACGGATTCTCGTTCGTGAACTCTGGAGACCTCGATTGCGGCTCGGATTCACCCGTCAGCGACGAGTTGTCCACCTTGAATCCACGCGATTCGATGATTCTGATGTCGGCCGGTATACGATCGCCGAATTTCACCTCGACAACGTCGCCAAGCACCAATTCCTCCGCCCTCAGTGTCAGTTTCTCGCCCTCTCTGATCACGGTCGCGAACTGCGGTACCATGTTCTTGAACGATTCCATGATTTTGCTGGACTTGCTCTCCTGGTAGTACGAGAATATGCCCGTTACTATGACCACCGCCGCCAACACGATACCCAGGTACAAATTGTCGTCGTTCGGATCCTCGCTGGTCGTCGCTTGGATCGAGTACGCGATGAAGCAGAGGATCGCACCGATCCACAACAGCAACGCGAAACCACCGAACAGATTCTTGCAGAATTTCACCCATTCTGGCGTCTGTTTCGGTGGCGTTAACGAGTTTGGCCCGTCCCTCTCCAGATTCTCCTTTGCCTTTGCATGGCTGAGGCCCTGAAATCATATTTTCATATCGTTTATAAAATTATAGAACGCTATTTATAAAATTATTCGAGATATTAAATACTTCGTTTGTAGATTTCTTTCACTTGGACTCTAGGAAACCTGTGCTTTCTGATCGAACTTTTAGACCTTCAATTTACCGAATTGAACGTACGTTTCAATCTTACGATTCGTATCTAAGATTTCATGTTAATCCAGCATTTTTAATTTGTATATTAAGCTAAGATTTTCAGCTTGTGTTTCATATCACGGTTTCTGATTTCTTAGTTTCTGATCATCCCGAAGATTCGCTTAAAACATCAAGAGTGATATTATTTCGTTTAATGTTTTAAGCAAATTTGCATCGGGTCGGTAACGGATTTTAAAATTAGTTAATTTCATGACAGCGTTATCCGAGCTTTAAATAATTCAATCGATCGACCAACACGATCCGTGCATCACAAGAGAAAATTCTCCTATTTGCGTCAGCGACCTCGTTAAATAATAATCAGTCTAAATGCGGACACGAATAGAACGGTTTGAAATGCGACAAATCTATTTTGTGTCAATAATTCTATTCGGTGTTCGAATTTCAATGTGAACTGAATTCGGTATTGGAATACTTTTTGATCGAATTTCAACTTTCGACTGCTTGTTCTTTAAATTTGGGTATCGATCTTTATTTAAATGTTAATTATTAAATTTTAGCGAGGATATTAAATTTTGGAATTTAGAAAAGTTACTGAAATTTGATATTAAAGTTACTTGAAATTTTACAACTGAATTGACAATTCGGTTGTAAACGAATGCATTCAACTTACGTTTTCGGGGTGCGTCTGAAATCTCTGATACAGTTCTTCAGGGGTGATTTTGTGGAAGTCAATATCCAACTCCTGTTTCAAGTCATCTAAATTGTCCGTCCTCCGCTTTGGGTTCTTCCGCCGCGACTGTTCAACAAAAAACATAGTTGATTTCTTGTTAGTCACGGAATTAAATGATTCTCCCGAGATATTTGGATGGAAACCTCAAGGTGTTAAAGAACAAGGAAATATGATTATAGGAAGATGTATATGTAATTATGTAAAGATAATTGTGTTAATATTAAACATTGGAAGGATATTAATACCATGAAGATTTAAGTTAACACCAATTTTAAATAATTCTTTATATTTTGTTTTAGCTTACTAATTCTTTTATTGATTAAATAAGTTGTTGTCTTTGAGTAATATTTAATTTAATATTTTCCTAAGCTTTCTATTGTGCAATGTTTGCACTACAGGTAATTTTTCTATAAAATCTATTTAGGATTAAGGGTTTAAGGATTCAGGTAATCACCACACCATCACAATACTTCACAATTTCAAGTTACATCACCCGAACATGATGTACTTAAAATTAATCATCGAAAGACCCAGCACCAAGAATAGTTAGTGTAAGAAATGACTAAAATACTGTGCTAGTTAATCAACGAAGAAGAAGAAGAAAGAACTGCAGAAATATTTGAAGATATAGTATTTTGATTTTTATTAGATTCTGTAGAAAGTCAAATGTTGAAATTAGTTTGAAACGAAGCACCAAGAAGAAGAAGAAGAAGACGAAGCAGATATAGAAATGTTCACCACCGACGCAAGTCTCAGAAGCTATAAAAACTTTGACAGGACCGGAAGTCCTCTTTTCCATAATACCTTGTACATTCCATCGGCTGTTATGTTGTCGTCGCGAATTTTCGGTAACGTGGCGACCCTGTACGAATCTGATCGGCCATGCTGTAAAATGTATGACAAAAAAAAACATGAGATGGCGTGATTAAAAAAAACACATAAAAACAAGTCGGGAATAAATAAATTAAATAAAGGATTCGACGGTTCGATGATTTGGTGGCTGGTGTTTAATCTTGAGGTATGTTGTAATTGGGAGACAAGTAAAATTCTTGTTTCACTAATTTAAAACTTGTTAAAAGTGTTGTAGTCTGGTGAAGTATTTTGACCTCCACATTTCACATTTCCAAATATTCTTCGTCATTAATTTCTTCCTTTATTAGCATTAGGATTATCCAAAACGGTTTCATGTATTACGAAACTTTTTAAATTAAAAATTTACCAATTGCAAAATGTTACAAATTTCAACTTCATCAATTTTGTTGAAGAGTTCTTCCTAAAAAAATTGTTGCATAAAATTGTTTCAATATTAAATTTTCAATTTAAGTTGCACAAATAATGTCTACTGTAAATTGGGATTTAATGAATGCAACCTAGTTACGAACACAGAGGCACATTTTTGAAACACGTGGGCCGTGTAATTCGAACACGTGAGGGCTGAAGCCTAATTTTCAAGAGCGACCTCGGATAACGACCACTTCCGGTGCTGGTTCAATGGAGCACTCGTTGAAACCGTTCAATGGTGTCCCGTGATCGATAGTATCCTTCAACGAAGCGATTTTGTGCAATTAAACACCTACCATTCGTTTACAATTTTTTTATTTTTTTCTCTTATTTTAATTGCATTATTTCATTTACTATTTGCAAAATTAATTGGTACGTTAATAATATGAAGATGCCTCTGTTAACCTAATTAGAGAACTTTTTAAATAAATGTTTTTAAAAAATAAATTAACAAGAGTAGATTATACTTGTTCATAACAAATGCAGATACGAGATATCTTCTTTTAAATAACATTATGTTAATTCTTTCAAATTAATTCATTATCCAAAACTTACATCCGAGTCATTTACTTTGAATCATGTTATTCATCAATAATAATAATCACTAACAATGTTACATAAATTGAATTTCTTTTACAAAATTATTCTATAGAACACAAGTCACAAATCCTCAAAGGCAATACAATCAATCATACGTCTTTTCAATTTCTACTCTGTAAGACATACTCAGTTCCATAATATCAGAAGAATTAAACAGTACATTTAATAGTACTACATAAAAATAAGAACCCACTAGATTACATACATCCATCAAGATTTTCTCAACAAAAAAAAGAAGATAAAAAAGTACCACCTCGAAAAGTACCACGAACGATAAAGCGCGATAAAAATGTCTTCGTGTTAAATCGAAGCTAAAATGGAGTCGCTGACAGTTCATTTATCAGTCAGAGCCCAAAACCATAACTAATCCAGTGGATCGATGAAACGATGTATCTTTTTCATGAAATACTAGGGGTGCAACCCCTCGTAAATTTCTGACTCGTGTGTCGACTTGCTAAGGCTTTTGAAGCTGCAAACGACCCCTCCGAGGCACGGCCGTGTTCTCATGGCCGGCGTTAGTGGATCGTTTGCATGCGTTCAAACGCCGGAGAAAATGAGATTACGTTTGTTCGAGACCGTCAGGAAAATTCTCCAGCACGGAGAAACGGTTAAGGCACATTTCAATTTGGACAAAACGCCGTGAATTGCGTCGTGGCGACTCTCAATTCGAATTTACGAACCGTGCTCAACGCAAATTGCCAGCTGAATTTCCTCGCAATGAGATTCTCGAATACTTCGCTACTTAACACGTTTGCGGAACGTTCGTTTGTACGATTACTGATCTTGCGAATTTCGGGATTTGAGAATTGGGGGTTTGGGGAGAGGGAGATTTAGATATTTGGGGAGGGAGTTTGCGAATTGGAAATTTGGGGAAATGGGAATTTAGGGATGGAGGAATTTGGGGGTGTGGGAATTTGGGGAAGTAGGAGTTTGGGGACATAGGAATTTGGGGGTGTAGGGATTTCGATGTGTTGGAATTTGGGGGTGTAGGAATTTGGGGAAATCGAAATTTGGGAAAATAGTAATTTGGGGAAGTTGGAATTTGGGGACATAGGAATTTGGGGGTGTTGGAATTTGGGTGTGTAGGGATTTCGATGTGTTGGAATTTGGGGGTGTGGGAATTTGAGAAAATAGTAATTTGGGGAAGATGGAGTTTGGGGATATAGGAATTTGGGGACATAGGAATTTGGGGATGTACCAATTTGGGGGTGTTGGAATTTGGGTGTATAGGAATTTGGGGGTGTGGGAATTTGGGTAAATAGGAATTCGGGAAAATAGTAATTTGGAAAAACCGAAATTTGGGAAAATAGTAATTTACCTACACAGAAATTAATAAATATAAAAATTTGAAAATTTGAAAACGTAATCATCCTGAATTCCAAAATCCCAAAAATTGAGAAATAACAACAAAAGATAGTGAATATGAAAATGTGAAGAGAAGTTGAAAAGAGTGAGATTTAAGGTGAGTCGATCGATCATACAAGTGTTGGCGTATCGATCGCAGTGCACGTGTGCGCGCACGATGTGATAATTGTCACTCGTCGCAGAAGAAGATTTTGCTAGCCGCAGTGCAGTAAATTGTCTCGACCTCTTGTCGACACGGAACGGTGATTGCAATCCCGAACGTGTCGCGGAAATAAGTGAAATAGATTGGCGCGTAGCCAGTGGTTCTCGATGTTAAACAAATCAACCTATTCGTAACAATTTTTCCTCTTCCGTATCCATTTTCTTGATTAAAAGAAAAGTTACAGAAACAAGTTACTTTAAAAGAACAATTTCTTCGAGTAAGAAAATTTCAATTAATCGAAATTTCAATCAGCGAATATCGTTCGGTAAATGTTTTAACCTCGTTTCGTTATACAAAAAATTGTCAATCGCAATTATCGAAACAATCGGGCAAATAAATCGAGTTCAAACGAATTAAGTTCCCAATTAACAAAATTTTTGCTCCATCGAGTCGTTTTTCGCGTCGACCACTCGGCATCAATTCATCCGCGAGAAATGCTGATAATGATCGATCGATAACCGTTCCAGGTTTCGGAAAATTGCTGGCTGAGAGATTTCGCCGCGGAATCGTCGGATGATCCCGAAAAAAAAGGCCAGGATCGAACAAGCGGACGTACAGTCACGACGAATGCTCGCCTCTCTATTGATCCAAATGATACAGACACAAAGGTACATGTGGCTCTGTTCGTCAACGATTTTAACGAGCGCTGTATGTCGACGGCAGCTCTCGTTCCGTCCAAATAAATTGCTTCAGATAGCCTCGCGCTGTGTCATGTCATCTCGATCCGATATTTTGTATGACCGATATTTTAATACTTGCTTTCTCTCACGATTTTTGCGCTAACTTGTTCGGCTTTTATCGCCGATGATCGATTGGCAAACGACACTGTGAGTTTAGTCGCTTTTGGGGGTCGTAGATTAAAACTGTTACATTTGGAAGATATTGATAGATCGATAGATTTTCAATTTGTGTTTGATGTTGTTTTTAAAGTAATTGTAAAGAGTAGGATAGAGGAATAATTTGATGAAAGAACGCGTTGATTAACGCGACGAATAATTACAGTATATGGGTTATTGGAGCAAGTACATTGTTGATGAATTGGGAAGACAACGTTGACTGCACAGTGCGTCAAGAGGATGACGCACTAAATATACAACGCGTCAAATAGGTAGCGCATTGGTTATAGAACGTCAGTGTATAACGCAAGTTGACAATGCGTCGATTACACAATGCAATAATAATACAACGCATTGATCACACAATCCGTCAAGTGGACAACGCGTCAATTACACAACGCACTGATCACACAACGCGTCACCAAGACAGCGCATGAGACATACAGCACGTCCACAACACAGCGCATCGAGTATACGGCGCTTCGTCAAGACAACGCATCAAGTATACAACGCGTCGCCAAGACAGCGCATATAGTATATAACGCATCATGAAGACAGCGCATCAATCATACAACGCATCGTAAAGACAGCACATCGATCATACAACTCATCGGGCATACAGCACATCAACAAGACAACAATCAAGACAGCGCATCAAGTATACAATGCATCGCCAAGACAGTGCATCACACATACAGTGCGTTGGCAACACAGCGCATCGAGTATACGGTGCTTCGTCAAGACAGCGCATCAAGTATACAACGCATCACCAAGACAGCGCATCAGACATACAGTGCGTCGGAAACACAGCGCATTGAGTATACGGCGCTTCGTCAAGACAGCGCATCAAGTATACAACGCGTCGCCAAGACAGCGCATATAGTATATAACGCATCATGAAGACAGCGCATCAATCATACAACGCATCGTAAAGACAGCACATCGATCATACAACTCATCGGGCATACAGCACATCAACAAGACAACACATCAGCCATACAGCGCATCAAATGAGACAACGCATCGCCTATACAACACATTAACTAGACAGCGCATCGATCATATAACATGCCAAGAAGACAGCGCGTTGACTATGCAGCGCGTTATATAAGACAGCGCGTCAATTGTATAACGTATCAGAAAGACAACGTATTGATTGTGCAATGCGTTAATTAGACAACGCTTTGATCAGCGTGTCAAGACAACGAGCACACAACACTTGAACTACATATTGCATCGATCATACAACGCGTCAACTCGGCAACACAGTAAGCAGATATTGCTTTTATTATTATAACGTATCAACCACACAATGCGTCGAAAAGACAATTGGCTACACAATGCGAAGTCAACGCTTCGTCTAAATAAAACCTTGTAAAGACAACGTATTAGAAAATGCAAGAAACGCGTCGATTACACAGCGTGTCTATTAGAATGCGTTGAGCATTACGCGCTACACAGCGCATCTACAATGAATTGTAGACACAAACACTTATACTCTTCTGACTAAAATATTACCCTTTTACTGAACAAACTCGATAAACCATATCATTAGCGATTACGCAGAACAATTAGATACGCAATTTCATTTAATCGGTTCC